ATTCTAAGGGTACATATGTTAAAAAAAAGTTATTCACCATGAAATTATCTTTCAAAAGATGTACATACTATGTGGTTTTAGCAGCATTAAAATTTTGAACCACTGCTGATCAGTGCGCCATTATGATATTTGCCCAAATAAGAAATTCCCAATGTCCAATCGATGGGGCTTTTTTCTGGTCATTTCCAACTTACTATAGAACATCTGTGCCAAATTACAGCTTTATATTATTTTTATCCGAGCTAGACCGTTTTTATATCTATTTCCACTACACTAAGAAGAATGCCTAAAAAGAGACATGGGTACCAATATAATATTCTAAAAATAGCATCAAGGGGCAATTTTTTTATTTCCTTTTCTCTTAATATATTTTAATATATGATAATACACCTAAATCTTTCCTTATGCATCTTTTTTACAAATCAGTAATGACATATGAAGATTGGCCCAATTCGAGGACTTGGGCGAAGTACCCCAGTCTAAAAATGACGATTAGGGGCATTTTTCGGCTTGTGTCTGTTCGGCATCGTTATCAGCGTGTGAAATTACCCCAGTGTACCCATTTTCATGCCGGCATCACAATTTGCATGATTCGTGTTCTAACAGCCTAGACTATTTTGGCCATAGTTGACTTGATTTTTGACAAATTTAACTAATTTTGCACCTATGGGGGCATTTATGGTGTTCTTTCATGTTATGTGGTCAAAATTTGAGAATTCTAAAAATAGTTTTCTTGTGAGGTCACACTTGAGAACTCTTTAATGATTGCTAAATCTAGAAAATCATTTCTTATTCGTTCTTCTATTATCTTGCACCCTGTCGTTTCTCTACAATCACAAATTTTTGCCCCTCGACATACATGTGCAAATGGGATCGGCTGAGGATGTATTACCAAATAATATATTTTCCCAACTTTTATTGGGTGTAGTAAAATATGGAAATTGGCCCAATCCGAGGACTGGGTCCAAGTACTCCAGTCTACAAATGTAATATGTAAAATAATTTATTTCATATGCTGCTTTCATGCACTTTTAATTCAATAGAAAGCAATTAAAAAAAACCAATTTCAATTGCTTGGTCTTCCACTTCTTCTATTTTGCAAGACAAATGGTCTTGTATAAATTAAAGAAAATTAATTTTTACTTCATAGGCATGACATTAGATAATATGGCAAAGCTTCATAAATTATATCAAATTATATAATTCTATCCCAATTCTAGTTATATCACATCCACAATTATATCTTGAAATCATTTGCACAAAATTTCACATTTTGACAAATTTTGTCTTTATTTTTTTCTAACAGATGCTAACATGCAGTTGTTACACGTCGCATTGCTAATAGCAACCGTTTTCATTGCACTTGTGACCATTTTGCAAAATTCAAAGAAAATGCAGATGAAAAGTCAACCGATCTTTAGAGGAATTTTTCCGTCAGGAAACCCTTGGAATGGCGTCCCTGAGTTTGTGCTATACTTGAGATTAACGTCTAGTCCGCGTTGGGAGCAAGAATATAGAAATAATTTGGTTCGCACTATGAAGCTTTTCTTTCCACCTGAACGAGCGAAACTTGTAGTTGTATTGGACAACGAAAAGAAAGAAGACCATTTGTTTGGAGACAAAATAAAAACGGAATGGCCATATCCACAAATATGCTACAGAGATCCAAGTTCCATTGATGCATACCGCGGATGGGGCAAGGCCAGAATGTTTTGGGACATGATGTATCCCGATAAATGTACCAATGTATCTTATGTGGGGTATGTCGATACTGATACATTTTTTAGCACCTTAGTAACACCACAGTTGTTATTTGACAATGGAAAACCAATTATTATTGCAAAAATTGGCCAGGTTCCGTACCAATGTTGGGCTGAAACAACAGAGTTGTTTCTCGGCAAAAAAGAAGTTATGCAATGCATGTCAACTTTCCCTGTTATGATAAAAACGGAGCATATGATAGAAATGAGAGAGGTCCTTGCAAGAAATCACAGCATGGATTTTGATTCAGTTTTTAAAAACACTCCACGTCAAATGCATTGTCTTTGTCAGTTTAGTATCATGTGCAATTATGTTTGGTACTATCACAGAAATGAGTACTCGTGGCGCTTGCAGATGGTCCCAAATGGTGACTGGAGAGGAGAACATTTGCTTGCTAGTCAAGTGTCACTAGATTATTATCGGACTAACGTACCCCCAGAGATGACGATACCAATGCCGCGCTCATCAATTCACCTGAGGTACACAATAACAAATGGTCAGTCCTATCTGTCAGAAGTCCCTCCAAAGGAATATATCGAAGATTTTATTAAAGAAGGACTTTGTTACTCAGCTGGATTTGATGTCTGTCCGGAAAGTTGCAAAAAATGGAACCAGGCAAAGATACATTACAATCTTTATTCGTTTGAATTCTATCAATGGTTTTGGGACAAAAGGTGCATGGAAGAGCAAGAAAAGCATTACAGAAACGTCAAAGAGCTAATTCGCTACTATGCTTCTTCAAAGATGGAAGTTTTTGGACTTTCTTCTCTAGATCAACTATGTACCATATTATGAAAATATTTATTTATTTTCCATTTTATGGCAACAAATTTTGCGTTTCTTCTTCTTAGTCGCTGCTGAGATCTCTTAAGTTTGCTATAAATTTATCATAGATGAAATGTGCAGTAGCTGAGTATTTTGCAATGATTCAGCACAACGAAATTATAGAAACTGTAGCGGGGTTCATTTTAACGTGCAGTGGTAGCCAATTTGGGCATTGATAAATCGTAAATGTACATTGATACACAATCGTAAATTTTTTGCAGTGAAAAACCAAAAACAAAAGACATTTATTAGTATTTAGTTATTAAAAGGTAAAATTGCAGCAACTACCAGTAAAGAACACATAAAGATTATAATAGGGCATCACATTAATAAAAAGGAGAACATAACAGTAACAATGATCTATGAAATCTCTGTAAAATTTTATCGAATTCAGTATCTAGAAGCTATCTAGTTTTTTTTCCATCTTCTTCTTTGTGATGTTTGTTCTCGAAAACTGTTTTAAATCTAGAACACTTTCCCTCGTTGAAATCTCTTGTGAAGCTAGAATGAAAGGTGGTGTAGTTCGAGAAATTTACATACAGTTAGTTCGATAGGTGCGGTCATAAACAATTTTCAAAGGCAACACCAAAATTTTCAAAAATTTTGAAAATGTGCAGTGTTAAAAATTCCTTAAAATTCCTTAAAATTCCTATCCAAATAGATATATAATGTAATGTTATTTTGTCGGAAAAGCAAGTAGATTTTAACTCAACTTGGAAGCAAAATTATAAAGTACATTATTATAGAAAACCAAATATTTGAGGGTATGTCAACCATTGTGAATTCTTGGTTATATAGAATCACAAGAAACCAAACTCAACTATATAGAATCTTAAAAAACAAAATTGTGTTTGTGGAGTGAAATTTACTAGCGATGTAATATATATTGTTTATCAAACTTTAATATCGTCTGACTTTTCGAAGTATGTCAATTAGACGGACAAAACTGATGACGATAAAGAAATGTAAAAATAGCAATTGCACAACAATAATAATAATAACAATAATAATAATAACAATAATAATAATAATAATAATAATAATAATAATAATGATATCTTTATTTACAGTTGGTTTGAGCGATAGTTAATATACATATATATATATGTAAAGCTAATTAATAACAACTATTTATATACAAAAATGAAATAGTTCAATATTAATCTACCTATTTACATATTTTACAGCTACATTTGTCTTCATTCTAGGCATATATGCCTCTTTTAAATTTGGCTACGTTTTCCACATTTTTTATCGTATCAGGCAAGGTGTCCCAGAAAATGCTCCCCCGGAATGCCAATGAATTTATCCCAAATGATAACGTTTGGTAGGCAAAAGTTGCAGCGTATTTTTCATTCCTAAATTATAAGTCAATTCTCTCTGTACGTAAAACTCTCTCACGAATGAAGGACTCTCATAATTTAATGATTTGTATATCTCTGTCATTCAAAGGTGGATTTATAATCACAAAACAGCTCGCGTACTGCACGTTTATTAGCTCGATTTATCTCCTTATTACATTGCTTTCCACATAAAATCCAAATGATAGGATAATAGTTGAAATTTGATAACAGAAAGGAATTGTATAGTAATTTTGCCTTGCCTATATCTAGGGAGTTAGCCGCCCTAGAAAATGCTTTCACAATTTGATTCATTTTATGACATAGGGTTTTGATATGCTGGTCAAATTTAATGCCAGCATCGATTGTGACGCATAGAAGTTTAACGCTGTCTGATAAGTATAAGGTATTTCCATTTATTTCAATAAAAATTTCTTTGTATCAGTTTTGGTTCCAAGGACCATCATCTGGAACCTAGGTTGATTAGCTACCATGCTGTTCGATTCGAACCATTTTAGAGCTTGACATAGATCTTCTTCTATGCCAACAAAGATTTCATCCAAATCACTACCACAAGAGTAAATGTTAATTGTTAAACAACTAATGTTAAATTGTCTTCAATTTACTTTCCGGTCCGTGTTGTTTGACCATACAACTGTATGATTCAAATTCGAAACTGGTGAAATTATTTTGAAGAATTTTCGCTCTGAAATTTTAATGTACTCTGATATTGAAGTTTTGAAAGAATAATATTTCCACGGCATCGAATATCTTTCTATATCTGTCTATAAATTATATATCCCAATAGATGTTTATTTAATTTGAGCGTCATCTTTTTTGTGTGCGTTTCATCATTTAAGCTTTTCTTTGCCTTTCTCTGCAAAAATTTTCCTTAATTTTTTGTCCATTGAAGTAAAATGTTGGAAATGCACAAATGTTTCTCTAGAATGGCACAAAAAAGGATTAGCACTGTACATTTTGTGCCCTACCTTTACCACTATGTCTCAATGACAGCTCTAAATTCTCGTACTCCTCCTTAGCGACGGAGTCGATGATGAAATAGAATTTACCAATCAAACGAGACTTACCTGTAAGCGAAGTTTGATTGAAATTCTATGACCCATCGACACGGAGTGAAGGAGGTGTACGCCCAGCCCGCCTTTTTTCTTTGCATACCCGCCCAAGTTCATTCGAACATTTTTTCATTTTGTCATTGATCCATGGCTGCTCTAAAGACTGGTTTGCATGAACTACCGAGCTCTCTCTCGTACACCTCCTTCACTCCGTGTCGATGAATCATAGAATTTCAATCATTTCAATCAAAACTCGTTTGAATGGTAAATTAAATGCCTAGTGTATTCCAGCCTTAAGACATTGAAGCGTCCATTTTGTTGCGTCAATTAAAGACATTGAAGCTGTCATTAAAGTTGCCATTAAAGCGGCCATTCTGTTCCTATGGTTTCAACCCTATTTCTATACAAAGTTAACCTGATTTTAACGTGGTTGAATAACTATTTCTATACAAAGCTTGACCTGATTTTATCGTGCGTGGCAGGCATTCCTTCATCTGGATTGAGGCGGATTCACGTTTTTCTGCCTTACCTGATTTTATTAGAAATTGGAGAGTTCAAAATCGGTTCTAAATCCAATCTGAGATCAGGTAAGTGTTTTCTTTTAATTTTCGCATATTGTTCCGATCTTTACAAGTATAACTTAAAGATAGCAAAACCTAGAACAAATGGCAACAGTTTTTTTTCACGAAATACATACCTCAAGCAATGCTTTATAGTCAATCGGTGGTATCTTTAGCACTAGTTGAGAAACTTGGTGTTCGCGAAATATGTATTTAAATAATGTGTAAATTGTGCAAAAGTTTAATTTTTTGAAACATTCTTCTTTCTACTATTGGCTGCTAAGGATAGAACCAGACTTGGGTTTATTCGACACTTATCGTTAACACTCCTAAGTGTCCAATAGGCAATTCTCAGTGTCCTTATAAATGCTATGTACTTCCACTTCGTCTAATCCACTAGGCGGATAGTGTTGTATAAGTGAAAGGAAATTTATTCCTATTTCATAGGAATATCATTAAATAATATTGGAAAGCTGCCAAAATTATATCAAATCATATAATTATATTTTGATGATATCTACAAATATATCTTAAAATCATTTGAGCAAAATTTCACATTTTAACAAATTTTGTCTTTATTTTCTTCAACAGATGCTAACATGCAGTTGTTACACGTCGCATTGCTAACAGCAACCATTTTCATTGCACTTGTGACCATTTTACTAAATTCAATGAAAATGCACATGAAAAGTCAACCGAGCTTTAAAAGAACCTTTCCATTAAGAAACCCTTGGGATGGCGTTCCTGAGTTTGTGCTATACTTGAGATTAACTTCTAGTCCGCGTTTTGAGCAAGAATATAGAAATAATTTGGTTCGCACTATGAAGCTTTTCTTTCCACCCGAACGAGCAAAACTTGTAGTTGTATTGGACAACGAAAAGAAAGAAGACCATTTGTTTGGAGACAAAATGAAAACGGAATGGCCATATCCACAAATATGCTACAGAGATCCAAGTTCCATCGATGCATACCGCGGATGGGGCAAGGCCAGAATGTTTTGGGACATGATGTATCCCGATAAATGTACCAATGTATCTTATGTGGGGTATGTCGATACCGATACATTTTTTAGCACCTTAGTAACACCACAGTTGTTATTTGACAATGGAAAACCAATTATTATTGCAAAAATTGGTCAAGTTCCGTACCAATGTTGGGCTGAAACAACAAAGTTGTTTCTCGGCAAAAAAGAAGTTATGCAGTGCATGTCAACTTTCCCTGTTATGATAAAAACGGAGCATATGATAAAAATGAGAGAGTTCATTGCAAGAAATCACAGCATGGATTTTGATTCAGTGTTTAAAAACACTCCAGGCACAATGGCTTGTCTTTGTCAGTTTAGTATCATGTGCAATTATGTTTGGTACTATCACAGAAATGAGTACTCGTGGCGCTTGCAGATGGTCCCAAATGGTGACTGGAGAGGAGAACATTTGCTTGCTAGTCAAGTGTCACTAGATTATTATCGGACTAACGTACCCCCAGAGATGACGATACCGATGCCGCGCTCATCAATTCACCTGAGGTACACAATAACAAATGGTCAGTCCTATGACTCAAAAGTCCCCCCAAAGGAATATATCGAAGATTTTATCAAAGAAGGACTTTGTTACTCAGCTGGATTTGATGTCTGTCCGGAAAGTTGCAAAAAATGGAACCAGGCAAAGATACATT